CGTCGTTATCCTCGTTGCGCTGTTCCCCTGCGTCGTTAGGCTTGTCGGACGTATCCGAAGCCTGTTGACGCGTGTAGATAGACTTGAGGACGCGGCAATTCTCCATGGTATGGTTCAACTTAGGATGGTGCTGGCAGGGCCCCTTCAATGCCTTGGCGTAGTCGTCTTCATAGTTACGACGTCCGCCACCCTTTTTAACGGTGTTGACCTCGCCGTCGTCTTCCCGAAAGCACGCTTGCTCTCGTAATCGTCACGGCGGTTACGCCGCTGATTACGTTAGTCACGGTGGTCGCGGAGTCGTTCTTGTTGGTTGCGGCGGTCAAAATTGTCGTTTTGACCACGATTGCCCTTGCCGATAGTCGTCGCGTGTGGGGGGTGGTCGGAGCGCGGAACGCTTGCTTGCTTCTTCAATAATTATCTTTTTAGCGTCGTTCGGCGTCGCGTATTTCTTAGCGGTGGCGGGGAGCGCCGTGGACCAATCGAGGTCTTTTGCGGAGGAGCTTGTCCCTTAGGGCATCGTGGAAGCGGAGGCCGTGATGAAAGCCTCGATTGCCTCATTGTCGAGATTGATGGGACCTTGATCGCATCTCCGAGAAACGCCGGACGTACTTCGTGCGGCTCATCTCTTCGATCTCGAATACGTTGCAGATCGTATTTGTTGCCTGGTTGTTCGCAAGTAGCAATGAAGTTGTCAATGAAGGCTTGCTTGAGCTCTTGCCAAGAGTCGAAATAGTTCGCCGGCAAGCTAACCAGCCATTGGTGACCCGCATGGCCAACAAATGATCGGAAATAGTTAGACATGACGTGCTCGTCCGACATGGCTGATTCGATCTGCCACGCCGTAAAGCATGACCCATAATTCGGGTTTTCCTTGCCGTCGTATTCGAAGCTTCTCGAGCTTGAAATTCTTGGGCCATATGACTTGGCGAAGGTGTGGAGTAAACTGCTTCAAACCCGGTGGGCCGTGGGCAGTGTCATATTCCATACGGCGATAACTTTCATGGGACGCTCGATCATCGGCTCTCTGGTTGATGTGAGCGCGTAGATCGCGTTCACCGAGGTAATGGCGGAGATCGTTATTGCCATCGCGGCGATCTCGATTGCCATCTAGATTAGCCCTACGACCGCGGTTATCGCGGCGATTGTCGTGGTTGTCCCAGCGGCGGTTGTTGTCCTGGCCACCATCATGGCCACCGTTTTCTTCTTGACGGTTGTCTGATGGGTCGTTGTTGCGCGAGCCACGTTGGTTGGGCGGCTGTGAGCGACTTGGGTGCTGGCGGCTGTGGCTTGACTCGACCGAGACGGATGGAGCCCGAGCTTGGTTTACAATCTCCGTGGTCTGGGCCATAGCAGCCGTCAGATAGGCTTGTATTTCATCGCGAACTGCTTGGGTTTCCGGGGTGTTGGGTAGCCGTTGCATTGTTGCCATGGCGACGGCTACATTGGCACTTGGAGTTCTGAAGACCTGTTTGTCCCCCACCCTGTCGAAAGCATCGTTGAGGTCATGTGGCTGGACCCTTATGCGTCGTGCCTCCTGGTCTGCTTTGGCTTCGATTTGTCGGCGATTAAACCGGTCAATATTGCGTGCTTCGCGTGTAGTCCTTTCTTGTTCTGTTTCACCAACTGCTGGCGGTTCGTCATTGCTGACAACATGGATCAGATCCCCTCGTCTTGGCGGGAAAGACGGGAATTGTGAGAACCTCGGGGCGTGGTCTGGGATATCCAGATCGTACTTGATGCCTTCATCTTCGTGATGCTGAAGCTCGGTGTGGACAGATGCATTAGATGCGGTGCCAGACGAGGAGCTGGGGTCGCCCTCTTGGACTGTGTGGACGGATCCTTCTTGATAATCTTCAATCTGGATCATGTTGACGAAGTCGCGCAGCTTCGGCTGAGGTCGGTGCATGAGACACAGATCCAAGCGGCGTTGCAGGTCGTAGGCGTAGCTGGAGGCAGCGTTTTGTAGGCCATAGGGCTGGACCTAGTAGTTCTCCGTCGAGGCTTCATACTCGGAGAGCCGGAGACCCGTCGCGAAGGCCGGCCGGCGACGAGCAGAGCGCCCTTGAGGAGTAGATGTGACCACGAGATCTGTACCAAGTCATGCAGGACGACTGGTCCGAGCTGGTCGGGTAGATCTGTTGTGGGGAGTGGTTACCTACTCATTAGGCTGACTTTGAATCGTACTTACCAGAGCTAGGGTTTCAGCAAGCTTGGTGCCGACCCGATCGATGGAGTCGAACAGGTCAGTGTTGTCGATCTGCCTCCCTTTGTAGCGGGAAAGCGGATGATGAGTTGTCGGCGTGGCTGAAGGTGATGCAGGCGTGGTCGGAGCCAGATGTACCGTGGTTGGAGCCATCCATCCGCCGTCGTGGTCCACCGTGGTCGCATCCACCGTGGTCGGGTCGCCGTATCCACCGTGGTCGGAGCCGTATCCACCGTGGTCGGGCCGTGGCGATGTAGGTGAAGCGGTGGTCGACGCAGACTGAATCCACGCCTCCTCCGGGGTCATGGCGATGAAGTCGTCGGAGCCGGTGGTCCAGGTGATCTGGCCAACGGTGAACATGAGACCGTTCGGCGTAGCCATGGAGCCGGAGATGATAACCGTCTTGTTTGCTTGGGAAGCAGTACGCACACCTCCTACCTGGCGCACCACTGTCGACGAAATATGGTCGGCAGTCTACCTAAGGGTATACCCAAGGTAGTAGATTGTCGGCGACAGATCATAAGCTACAAACAAGACGATGACACAAAATGCATACACAAGGTTTTATCCGAGTTTGGCCGCCAAGAAGGCGTAATACCTACGTCCTGCGTCCCGATTTGTATTGTTGTATGTCAATGAGAGATGTTTTTAGAGGGTCCCCGCCCGCCTTATATAGTTCGAGGCGGGGTTTACGATCTGAAACTAATCCTAGCCGATTACAATTGCCATATGTGGCGGATAAGATTCCTATTCTAACCGACCAGGATCTTGATTGATCGCCAAATCCACCTTGACTCCTTGCGCTGGACTCGATCAAAGTTAACCGGACCGCACGTCGTCGTTTTTGGTGGACCGAACCCATCGATCCGGACCGCCCAAGCTTAGCCATAAGGGTATAGGGTTAATACCCCACACGTAAACCTAGTTCACTCGCTAAAGCATTTCTTAGATTGATACGACATCCAATCCCTGCCTTTCTAAGATAGAGGAGTTGGCTAGTTTAGCATTCTTATTTCAATGTCCACCCATGATGCAAAGTTACATTTCACAATTTCTAAGAATACCACATCATCTACAGAGTTTCCAAGAATTATGCACAGTGAGTGGCCTAACGTAGCCAATCTATGCTGACTTGTTTTTATAGCGGGTGCTAGAAAATATAGAGCATTTGGAGGTTATTAGATCAATTTTTTATGTGTTTATATCTTTTATTTTTGAGAAAAGGAGTTATTTTCAGCCTATGCGACTACACATCAAGTGTGTGTTCACAATTTACATCTTTTTGGATCTTATATGAAGTGTTTGGTTTGAGAAATGACTCCATTCTAGATGAGGCGGTGCATCATGAGTTCATTTTTCAATTTAGTGTAATGACCTCATTTCTCGTACTATTAATAATTATTAGTTTTTATGACGAATGAAGTGGTGATGGATCATATCAACTTATTGCATTGTACAAACCAAATAAAAAACTAAAGAGTGAGGCCATAATAGACCACTCTATTCCACGAACCGAACACCCCCACAGTGTATTTGTGTAGAGGTGTATGTCACGGTGCATAGCAATTAATTTTTGTTTGCTAACTAAAAATTGCAATGCAAGACTCGTAAAAAATGTATGTGCATGCCAAACTCTTGTTAAGGCACACACTGCATGCATTAGAGCAGTCCTTTTACAATTTTCCGAACCCAACCGTCCCCACTTCCCACTCCCCAGGAGGCAGGAGCCTTCCGCGCCGAACGCGGCTCGCCGCTCTCCCTCCTCCTCCCCCCTCCCGTAGGCGCCTTCGTCGTCCTCTCCCCAGCCTTGCGGACGCTGCTGCCGTGGAGCGCAGATCGACCCTGACTCTGCCCGATCTCTTCTCTTGTCGGTAAGGAAACTCGGCTGGAAATGCTCGTTCATTCTGCAGATACTATTTATTTTTCTTTTCTTCGTCTCCAGCCCTCGATTCCAATGTCTTCGTTTCTCTCCGACCCGTCGCGGATTTGTTTGATGCCCGCATTTCTGGATTTTTGGGTTTCTGGTCGCTTTGATTGCGCGCCTGATTAGTGATTAGAAGCATCATAAATTCATAATTCGTAACTCACAAGGTGATCCGGCAAATTTGTTCCGTCAAAAGGATCATTTCCCGCACAAAATATGATAGCCAATCCGAGCTGGCAGGCACACGTTGGTATTTTGTAATGTGAGAAATCGGTTGTGTAACCAGCTGCAATGTGACTCTTTGGGGATCAGATTATTTGAAATCGGTTGTGTAACCAGCTGCAGATACTTGTTATTTTAGATGGCTTTCCATGGTGTTTCCTTTTTAGCGTGCACGGAGTTTTGTTCTGTTGATGTAGTATTCTTTAATAATCCTAATGTCAATATTTTTCGAAAATAATCCTAATTACATTGGGTACCGACACTTTAAAAAATAAAAAAAAGATCATAGGACACATTGGAGAGCAGTAGTTTTTAAGTTCCCTCACATGACCACTGTTTGAACGGGTTCAGTTCAAATCAGAAAATTTGGTTTGTAAACCGAAGTGTGCAAATAAATATACAACCGATGAAGATTGAGTTGGGAACAGGAATGCAATTGCTTTATTGTTCAGAAGAACTATAATAATTGTTTGAGTGCAAAGCAGTAATCACATAAATACTAGTGTGACTATTTATTAGTTTGCTTGTGCAAACGTGCAACATCTGAGATCTACAATCACAAAATAATTGTTTCTTTGTTGTGCTTTATAAATCTTTTCAGATGCTAACATAGAAGGTTCTTACATATTGCAGAGCGTGGGAAACCCTGCAATGAAATGGAAAAATATCTTGAGGGAAATGGCACCGCTGAGGTCCACAGGCAGATTCTTTCGACGCCATCCTTCAGCTCTCTGCTTACTGATTTTCCTACTTGTGTTGTACAAGTACTTCTTTGGCTGGTTCACCCTCATCGTGACCACATCACCTATCTTCCTAATCGCTGGCGTCTTTCTTGGAATCATCCTGGCGTACGGTGAACCGAACAATCCTGAAAAAGATCATGTCTACAAAAAAATTGAGAATGCTCGGAGCTCGGATGTCCATAACATCAGCAAATCTGTTAGGGGTGTACCTCTTCCTACAATTCCGTCCGGTGAAGAGAGAGTGGCGAAGCACAAAAACAGGGTTAAGAAAATTAGGAGGCGATCTCATGGTGTAGCTTCTTCTTCTGAACCAGGATCAAGTGAATCAGGTGGTTCAGATACTGATACCGCTCCAATGCTCCATGCATTTCGTCATCTCGGGTCGGGCAGCAATTCATCACAGTCCTCTCAAGATGGTGACTCCAATGACAGCAGCACTGAAGATGGAGCGGAAAACCAACAGGGCAATGATGGCAATGTACGCAAGGGGAAACAGCATGCTAAAGTTGTAGCATGGACTGCTGACGACCAGAAGAACATACTGAAAATCGGGTGCTTGGAGATTGAGCGTAACCAAAGGTTGGAGACCCTAATTGCTAGGCGTCGGGCAAGGAAACACGCAGACAGGAACTTGATAGAATTTGGTAGCACTGATTCCTTACCCACTATTGAAGAACTATCAAAGTTCAATGTTCAAATTCCTGCTGTTTTTGCTCCTAGAAAAAATCCTTTCGATCTTCCTTACAATGAAGATAACTTCCCAGATTCTGCTCCATCTGCGTTGTTGGAAACAGGAAACCCGTTTGATCTACCAAGTGAGCAAGCAAATGAGAGCAGCTCCAATGGAGGAGCCAACTCAAGCCAGGCTGAACCTATTCCTGTAGCATGTCATTTACAGAGGAGTGCACTGTTGAGGAGGCATGAGAGCTTCACTGAAGGAGCACCATTCCTTAGTGACTTTTTGCAAGATACGCAGCCTTCCCGATTCAGACCATACTTCATGACAGAAAAAAAAATGGCTAACGAGGAAATGACAGATCCAGTTCTTGAAGGAGAAACTAGTGAAAAGAGCAACTCCAAGGCCAGCTCTGCTCAAGACTCGGCTAGTACTTCTTCAGTTGCCGACCAAGAAAGCCAGAAGGATGTTCTGGAGGATTGCTCAAACCAAGGACAACAATCTTCTTTCAGTCAAACGGAGGAACATGCACATACAGCTCGGCATGTAAGGGAGGTTTCTCTTGCCCTTGACATGGAGCCACCTGTATTAATTAGTGATTCCTCTGATGATGACATATCACTGTCTGGTGAACATATAAATGATTGGGAGGAAGCACAACAGAGTTTTTCTCAGAATACATTGGTAGAGGATCCTAGTGTCATGCAACACCATCAAGAAATAGATATGACAAGCAATGGATTGAATCAGATGTCCCCACATTCAAATGATCTCGAGCTGACGTCGTCATCAACCGAAACCACTGATGATCCTTTTGAAGTGAATGACATTGAACCACCAGGTACCATAGAGTAATATATCCTTTTTCAGCTAGCGATTTGTATAATGAATCCCACATTTTATTAGTGTTTTCCTACTTTCTAGCCAAGGAAGTGGTCGTCATTGATGATACCCACGTTCTGGATCCTGTGTACGATTCAAGTCCTTCGGGAAGCGAGAGGCCCGCACCTATTGGTTTAGTAACTGATGGACCTGTCTTGAAAGATGGTAACCAAAGACTACAATGAATTAATCAGTTCTAATCGTGACATAACGCTGTCATTCTTTTTTTCCTAAAGTATAGAATCAAATTGCAGGTCATGCTCGTACTCTTGATGCTGAAGCAAGCATCGAAGAAGGGGTTTCACCATCAAGAATGGAGGCTTCTTCCAGTGAGGTTGCTGGACCTAGTTTGAGTTCTGTGGAGGAAAGCAAATTTCTAGAGAAAGAAGCCTCTGAGATAAGAGAGCAGTCCATGGTTGGCCATGTCGAAGGACATGGAGGTTCTGTCAGTCATGCTGATCCTTCAGTATGTGATATAAGTTCTCAGCCAAGTACTGGAAGTTCAACAAATGGTAAATCTCATTGATTGGGATCTTTTCACCTGAATCTTACTAGCCTACATGAATTGAGGTAGTTATTGTGTACAGGGGAGCATTTAAGCAAGGTCACAATAAGTATAGAAAAAGAAAAAGGTGCCTCCAAATCATAGTTTTGTATAATTTTTTTTTTTTTTTGGGTAAAATATCTACATTTCTGGCTTTGGAAAGGTTCTTCTCAATCATTAGCACATCTGGAACAGTAAGACAAAACAGTTATATAAATTAAAAGTGAACACTATGCCAAGCAACCTTGTTGTAGCTGCACCTGAGCATATGCATTATGTGATAAGAAACAGCAGCAACACTAACAAACAAATCAACCCTGTCAAAGATGGACAACGATTAGACACATTAGGTATTCGTTAGGTTCCAGATGAACTGATGTTTATGGATTATGATAGCAATTCAGCTGATAGCATGCAGTAAGTTTCTGGGATAATGACTCTGCATATCAGGATCCAGCAGCACGGTTCATATTGATGAACTCTCTGCCAATAAACTAAGCAACTACCTGTGGGCCGTGGTTGTAACACATGTACTTACCTTCCTCTGATTACTTGTTGGAACAGGTGATTCTGGCAGTGGTGTCACACCATCCTCCACAAACACAGTTCTTTAGTTTCTTCAAAAAAATGACGGTGGCACCGAGCATCAGGTTGGACGTCTTCGGCAGTACTCTGCAAGGCATTTTTTTGTGTGGGGCGAGTTCTTGCTGAGTAATCACTGGGAGGGAATATGTTTCTTGCAAGGGATTTCTTAGTGCTTCAAAGGACTAGGCAACATGTTGGACCTGTATAGTCTGGATTTACTGAAGAAGATATGCAACATTAGCATTAGCACTTCACTGTAAAATGGCTAGATATGGTCCTTTTGGTCTCTCTCTCGATTGTGAATACCTTCTGGACTGTCAATTTTGTGCCGTAAGTTGTCAGTCCGCTGCTTCAAGTACCTTAGTTTATGAATGAATTGCTTTGGAACTCATACTACCTGGTGTGCAGTTGCCCTAGCGTCTGAAGTTTACCTTGCGTTGTTGCTTCTGGTTCCAGGGATCTGTAGTGCTATGGTGTTCCTCCGCAGTGTCCTGCGCTTAGCTGTGTTTGCCGTCTTGTTAGGCATTGTGTTGGTCGCTAGAGTCCTCTAGTGTTTCGGTAATCCTCCACCTCGAGCGTATATATGTCCCGCGTCCAGACACGTGGCCTCACCGTTGTCCGCGTACTGTACCCACCACATAAATATCTAATACTTCGGTCAGGTACTCAGCTGACCACTTAGACTTGTCATCTCCGGTTCTATCTCGTCTATCTCTCATCCGTCTCTCCATTCAAAGCAACACGGAGAGGAAGGATGTCGTGGAGCTTGTGCATCTCCTTCCCGTCTCGAACTCACGCAGCCACCAGCCCTCTGCTGCGCCCGCGCCCAGCAAGCTCCGCCCGCTGAGCTCCACGCGAGCCCCGTGTTGCCGATGAGCTCAAGCGCTGCTGCTGCCGGAGACCCCTGTGTTGCCCGGCGAGCTCCAAGGCCACCAACATTCACGCTGTCGTCATTTGAGCCTAAGTTGCTTTTAATTGGGAAACTAAGTTAATATAGATTAATCAAATTAATATTTTATAACATGTTAAACATCATTACTATAACGTAGATTACGTCGTTATGAATCTAACACAACTTGAATGAGTCAAAACAGAGCTAAAACGTAGGGGATATGTTAAAAACAAGGTGGATGGCAAAACTGTAAATAACTGGATCTAATTTTCAGAAATAAATAAATAAAATGAATTTTGAATCCGAGCAGGGACCGTGGGTTAGATTTTTGGAAAACAGAAGGGCTCTTTTGAAATTGTGCCGTGGCTGACCGGTATTGACCCGATCTGGGTCGTTGATCGGAGATTGAACGAACGAAAACAGAAGGGAGGGAGATGTTGCCGGCACAGTACCGCAGGTGGCGGCGCCATGGCCGGAAAAGGCTCGGCCTCGCCGGAATCTCGCCGGAATGGCTCGGCTTATATAGCCCCCAGGTGGCGCTGTCGATGGAAGGAGGGAGATCGAAGCCGATTTGAACTCGCCATGGATGGAAAGTGCCGGCTTCCAAATATGGAAAGAGCTAGAGGTAAAAGAAAGAAGGTGTCGTGTGAGATTGACACGCGGGGCCACCTGTCGGCAAAACAAGGCGCGGGGCCAGACTGGCAGCAGGACAGAGGGAGAAAGGGGAGCGCGCCTGGCGCGGCTTGGGCCGGAAGCTCGATCTGGGCTTTCGGGCAGGCAAGGGGGAGTGGGTCGTCTGATCTGGGCCGAGGGGATGGCGCGCTAGGCCTGCGGGATGGGAACCAGAGAGGGGTGGAGTGGGCTATGCAGGCCGAAAAGAGAGATGGTGAGGTTTGCCCTTTTTCTTATAAATTTCCAAAGCCATTTTCAAATAGAGTTTTGAATCCATTTTGAGTTTGACTCAAAACCACTCATTCCAATAAATCAAATGCATTGGCATGTATGCTCAAACATGTTGCTATCTTATGATATATTTTAACTTATTGAAAAATTATTATTTTTCTGTGTTTTCATGAGAAAAAAATACATAATTAAATCAATTTAAGCCTATTTCAAAAGGAGCAAATTTTATGGTGTTACATGTCTTGAGGTGAGTAGGGTCGTACACGAACGTCTTCATAGCAGCAGACGCGAAGAAGAGGGTCAGCAAGCGAGACGTGAAGAGCACCAGCGCCCATGTATATTAGAGATGATGAACACGGTTGGAGATGGAAAAAAAATTTATCATGAGATGGTGAGACGCAGTCTTGATTTCAGAAATCAGTCTCCTAGCCAGCTGGCCTAGTCGCTGTGCCTCCAGAAAGTGCTATTGTGGTTTGTGTGCTTCTAGCGGGACGATTCTTTCTACCGGCCTGATCTCTACTGGGTTCCTATATATTGGACTATACCGATATGCAATTTCCTACCCAGATAAGATCGGATCTAAATTATAGTGAGCTTTGGAATCACTGCTAAAAACCTAGCGACATTAGGTAAGCAACATTTGCTAATCACATCCTATGTCTCTTATTTGTTGGGTGGCATCCAATGCCCTGGATCCCAACGTCATGCCCTAAGACCCTAATAATAATCTATGCGCTGTATGAAATCGCTATGAAATTCTAATCGGGGTTGATCAAAACAAGCCGATTCTGAGCCATTCCAAACGCCTCTGTTTTCACCAGATCAATCACATTGACCTTCGTGTGAGGTTCTAAGAAACGATAATTAACAACACGCACAACCTTGACCTGTTATTTTTCTCATCCATGTAGCTACACACACTGGCTCCAATGGTGATTACAGCCGGTAGGGTCGTTAGCATTTTCAAAAATATTTTTCAAAGCATTTTCACTTGCTTTCACACCACATCACTATGTCTAATGCATATGCAACGTTAGTCCTCACCTAATGGCACTAATAATCATAATCACTTTAGAATTCCCCTCTTAATCTACGGCTATTGCACTTTGTCCAGCGAAACAAAACCCCTGTACATTATACCTTTGTCTTGGGGCTTGTTTCGAACTCCTTCCAATTCCTTGCAATGGTTGCAACTCCTTCTCTTCTCTTTGTTGAGCACTCGCACCATGGTCATTATCAACTCCACCATGCTCCTAGCCTTGCTCAACTCCATTTTATGGACCCTAGCTCAATTATCTCCAATTGAAAGCATTAGTCCACTAGTTGTCAGTTAATTATCAAAACAAAAAACTAGGGCTTTCACCCCTAGTAGATATTGTAGGATTTGTTCTACCTCCTAATTATAATTAAATTACTTACAATTTGTTGCGCCATGCTCATGCCGACTAAAATGAGCTAGCTATTTTTTGTTAGATTTAATTGGGCTTGGCCCAACCTTAAATCAAATAAATTCCTAGGCCCATAATAAATGCTAGTGTGATAAAGGAGTAATCTCGTATGAGAAATTGACATGTAACGACTTAAATAGGTGGTTATGAGTGCATCTATCGTGAGTTTTAAGAAAGGTGGAAGGCATGCCACCCACACACATGTTGCAACACGAACACGCTCGGCGATGCAAGTAAGGTTTTGCAACTCTAAAATCAAACCAAGAAGGGTGACAATGAGGTTAAAAAGGTGAGAGTGAGGGATGATGGATCAAGAGACGTACTAGAGAGTAGCACGGGATAGCCAGACGGTGGAGAGAGAGAGTGAGAGATGGAAGAAATAAATTTTTACATATTAGGTATATAGATAGGAAACGGGAAATTAGGCAAACCTAAATAGGCTGATAACATATATCTCGCTTGGAGTAACAAAGAATTACTACATCAATATCAATGATGATGATGAAATTATTAATGTCACCGAAGCCTCTAATTAATAACCAGATACATCATACATCAGGTTTTTTTAATTTAAATAATGAAATCGTGGTTGTACACAAATTGAACTTCTAAACTTATAAGGCTAATCATCATGTTTTGTCTTCTTTAACAATAATATATATATTCACCACAAATTATTACCACTCAGTAAGGTAACCAATAATCGAATAAATAGCTACGAATCAGTTCATCGGTATAAGCAGCTTCTATATGGGGGCGTCCAGTAATCTGGGCCGTTGTTATCCCTGTACACTTGAGGCGTGCATGAGACGGGTACCAAGCACAGGCCTCTACTTCGCAGGTCGATCTCTGTCTCCGACTTCTCCTTCCTATCCAACCCTCCCCATGCGTTGTAGTCCTGACAAAATAAAATATAAGGTTAATACGTGTTAGATCATAACAATTTAAAATTGTAATGTGTAGTTACAAAGGAAGCATGCATAATGAGTACTACTAGCTATATGTTATTACTGTTATTCTATACTTACTCTGTTACAAACTATAAGCCATTTTGGCTTTTCACATACGTACATTTTGTTGTGAACTTAGATAGATATACACTATGTCTAAATACATAATAAAATTAATGTATTTAGAAAAACCAAAATATCTAATAATTTGAAATAGGGGAGTACTTTGTATTGTCCCGTCGTTTTGAGTTGACTAAAAACTTACATTACTACAATATATATACAGCTGTTTTATTTGTCTGAGACGTCAAAGTAAACTTCACTGGAGGTACAGTGTATACCCTCAAAGACTCAAAGGCATCATGCATAGTGGAAAAGAGGTAGGCAGCTTTGTTAAATATTGTACCTTGCTACTGCTTGTCTTCATGTATGGATCACTCAGCAACTGCATGCAACAAACCAGAAAGAGAAGCTAGTCAGTTCAGCTCAAATAATAAAAAACCCTCCAAAAGCAAAATGAGACTCAATTCATCAGAGAAAGCATTCCACGTTTTATATGATGAAGTGATAGAGCCAAACTGCCAAAGGGAGAGGGAGAGGTGGTGTCTAAGGGCGCCATGACCATGCATTCCATTACACAAAAAGCAGCAGCACTACTAACACCCATGTTGTGCAAAATACCAACAAAGGGGAGCCCCTGCTGGGGCCCGCCAGGAAGGGTATGAGTCGACATAGGCTCTGGAGGTAGGACACGTGTCCTCTGGTGGTTGGCCGCGTTGCATGATGATACCATTTCAGTTCCCCCCTCCCCTTCCCTGGAAACACCAGGGCCTTTTTCAATCCTTTTTGACAACCCAATAATTGCACCTGGCTATATATAAATTATGGAAGTCTTTAAAAGATTTTAAAAAGTTTTCCATCACAAAACATGCCGATTTAAAAAAGATTTTAAAAAGTTCTCCACCCTCGTTCTCGCTCAGTGATTGAAGTCTTTAAGCAGCTTATGCCCTACGCATATAAAAATGGGGGATACTAAAAGACTAGGCTACTGGTACTATACATACAATTAAGGTCAATCAAGTTAATTAGTTCAGGTATTAATAAAAGCATGAGAAAACAAGCTATGGGAAAGATTAATAAGATAACTAAACTTTGAGGAGTATATATGCAATATGGCCAAATTACCTGCACTTGTTCATGCAACCACTTGATGTAATTTATCGCCTCATACAGAACTGATGCGGTATCGGTCTAAGACATGCACACATATATAAGAGGTAGGTCAATGAAAGGGCCATTAATATGAACTAGTATAATATTCGAAATAACACATACGTATATGCAGTACGAGCGTACGTACCTTTCCAAATGGTGAAACGATCTGTTGCAGTGCAGTGATCTTGTCTCCTAACTTCACTTTTGGCACCTGCGATGCCTGTTAAACTAAGCAACATCAACATCCCAACCAATAAATATTTATATATATAGCGACTATGTACTTATGTATATGTCGCTAAAACATCGTATGACATGAACTCTGGCATTTGATCTGAGCTAGTTCTATAGTGTGTGTTACACCCTAGACTACTCTTGAGTTAGTATCTGAAACCCGGCCGAGTCTGTTAGTGAAACACATTCTAGTTTTGTTCACATTACTCTAAATGGTTTGCATCCGAGGATAGCAAAAAGTAATTTAGAAGTACTTAATCTGTTCCAAATCATGAGTCACTTTAGTTTTACCCTAAGTCAGAAAATTTTAACTTTGAACAAAGTTATCGAAAATGCACGGATATCTACAACATCAAATTAGCATACATCCATCATAAAACATGTGATGATACATGATACTGCATTTATTTGGTATTGTAGATGTTAATATATTTTCTAAAAACTCGATCAAATTTGGAGAAATTTATCCTAGGACAAAGCTAAAATAACCTATATAATTGGGAATGAAGGAAACAATAAACACATGTGGTGCCAAGCGAAGTTTAAGCAATGTTGCTATAGTGGTTGAATTTAAGGGGAAACTATATTCATAGTAACCATCACTACATTTGAGGATATATAAGCACATGTTTATTACATGGTAAGCATAGGATTTAATTTAAAGGGAAAAGCTACTGCCTATACTCGAGTGTTTAGCTAGCTCTGACACTTGATTTCTCCCTTCTCCCATCCATCATACACAAGGAATTCTCCATAGTTCTGATGACTTCCGCTCTGATGACTTCCTAGTGAGTTGGCGCTCAAGTTTAGGGATGAGGGTTTTCGCAAGAAAGTGACTGGTCTAGAGGGAATGCTGCCACAGTGATAAGTTGGGCCATTGGTGATGGTGGATATAGGGGAAATGGGGCCATATCATTGGTCAAGGTGGAGGAGGAAAGCTAGTGTGGATGGTTGGGCAGAGCCGCAGAGGTGAGAGTGGGACGATATATATGGAGTGAGGTGGTGGATCCGCTAGAGGAAGCTATTGGAGACAAGGAAAAGGGATATGATTCAGGCCGAGTGCAAAGGAGAAGCAAGCTATGGGAGATAAGGAAAGAGTATAGGATAGGGGCGATGGTGCAGAGGAGAAGCTTAATCAATTTGCTAAAGGGGGTGATGGAGGTGTAAACTGCAGTTAGAGCTCACAAAAAAATCACCGCCAGTAACAACGACACCCCAAGTGGCAAGGCTGTAGCATTTGGGAAGAATGAGGCTTGGAAATATGCTTCAAAATCTAGTGTCGAGCCCGATAGTCGGACCAGAGAGTGTTAATCTGGATTAGGCAATTCATGTTTAACTTCCTTAGAGCTTGTACAATGAGGATGCTAGGTGATTAGCAAAAAACCCAATTTTCCTACTATGCCATTATTAGTACTTGATGCTTAAAAGGTGGATAAGATATTTAAATTAGCATCTATCAATGCTCAATATGTGTGAATAGGATGTTGAGCCTATCTAAGCATCTGTTTCCATTGTAGGAGTTAACTTCTATACTGATGCTTAATGATATAACAATCTTCTCTCTCCTTAAGCATCTGTTTCTTAGCTTCTTATATTGTATACTCCTTAGAAACTTTTGATTGTCATCCAAAGATATCTTCGGATCAGAGCCAAATTCCGGAAAATAAAAAAATGCATATAGTACAAATTAAAATATTCATAAGCAGAAATGCACATTGGCGGAGCTTTAACTAAAATTGAGAAGGGGCCAAACAGACTCGAGGCACTGATAGAGGAGTCTAGATTAGCAATTCATCAGCACTTAAGTGGTGGAATTAAGTATCATGGCCCACTTTATAGTTGCATATGTACGTGTAAACTAAATGGACAGGATGACCTGCATGGCTGCATGCGCGTGTAGAGGCTAGCTAGGTGCAGTGTGTGTACCTTGAGAGACGACGTGGGCGAGGAGGCCTCATTCTTGGACTTCTTGGCGTTCCCCTCCGAGCCTTGCTGCTCCTCTGATCTCTTCTTCTTCCCCTGCGAGCTTCCCTTGCTGCCACCTCCGCTGCTCGTCTTTGCCTAAAGAAACGATAAGATCGATCAGCGGGTTCCTCTGGCCGCTTAGAATTATGTTGTCGACGGTCGATCTTACCGGCGAAGAGATTTCCTGGCCTTGCTTCTTGTACTCCGCATGCACCTTCGTCGACGTGGCCGGTGCCGGCTGCTCTGGTTTTCCAAGCGGCGCTCCGCCGAAAGATATCAGGTCCGAAAGGCTCCTCGCGGCGCCGGCATTGTTGCCCCACGGCACGTCCATATACATCCTGTTACTGCTGAGCCCGAGCATGGAGCTGTAGCCCGCGGGCCGGAGGAACTCCTGGCCGCCGCCGCCGCCGGTGCCGCTGCCCCCGGACGCCGCTTCCTCCAGCATCGCGCCGTGGCCGCCTATCTCGTGCTTGCAGACACCGCCGCCGGAGTCCAGGAACAGGCCGGCCTTGGCGCCGTGGCCCAAGGCTGCCACCGCGGCGGCGTTGTTATCGCATGCCCCGGCGACGCCGGCGCGGTGGTGCGCGTCGCCGAGGCACGGGCTCGGCGGCGCGATGGACCAGTTGCTCACGAGGTCGGACAGGTTCGCCGTGAGCCGCTCCGGCCCGCCTCCGGCCGCCGCGTGGTGGTGCGCGAGCGCGCCGCCGCCGTAGCTGAGGTGCTTCTCCAGGGCGGCTGTCGTGAACTGGTGGTCCGGCCATCCGCCGCCACTGCCACTGCCGTGGCTGCTGCCGTACTCCATCTTCTTGAGGTAGTCGCAGGCGGGAGGCTCCGCGAAGAGCTCCGGCGCGAGCGTCCTCGAGTTGAGCAGCTCGAGGAAGTTCTCGCTGTCGTCATGGGCGTCGTGCACGGCCTGCATGCTCCTTCCAACCTCGCCGCCGGCGCCCCTATACGTACAGAGGAGAGAGAACAACAACAAAAGGTGAAGCTACCAGAAGTTGCACTGATTGCACCGAAATGCCGGAAAGTGTTGTGTATGCATGAACCCTTGCTTACTATTATTAATTATTAGCACTGATTGAGAAGTGATCTATCATTGAGCAATCGATTAAAGAAATGGAGGCAAAACTTTCCTCGAAATGACGAAGCGCATGTGTGAGAATGTAACCAAGCAAAGAGAGGGATCAACTTTGGGAAATGGATTAAAGTACTAACAAGGGGGACATGGATGCTGCTTGATATGGTTCCACTTTTTTGGTGATCCGTACCAAACAGGCCTTAGTTGCTTCTTCACAAAAAATGATTAGTGGCTAACTAGCTATCTAGTTTGGCTTTGGCATTGTTATATATCAAGCTAGCTAGGTCCTGTCTCTACCCAAGTACCCAACCCTAGGTAGCAACAACTTTTTTTTAACATATATGTGTAATTCTATCGCAAGCAATCTCACTTCTCACAACACTTGTATGTTATATTATATATACATATATGCAAATTCCAATTCTAGTGGACTTGCATATATGCAAGTCTTGCTAACACTTTAATCTGCAGCATGAACCTAGCAAGAGGCCACAAGCAAAGAACCTTGTGTAGCTAGCAAAAGAAGAAGAATCAAATCACAATAATTTTGTATGTACACATGTAACCCCGCTCTTGCGCGCTTTCCCCGCTAGATTTTCGAAATCGATCGGAAAGCCCCTTTAGTTCTCCCTTTGCTTCTTGCTTTGGTTCCTGATCCTTTGTGTGCTTTAGTTTCTTTCCCCTGGCCTGCCACTAGCTAGACGACTACGCTACCGCAAACATATACTAACTTTGCAGCACATATTCTTATTCTCTGAATAACTAAGCAGCAAAGATTAATCGATCGGCGTCAGTAGCAGCAGCTAGAGCTAGCTATGTGTGTAGATATATTCGTGGAAAGGAAATTTAGATGCTAGAATCTAAGCAAAGCGAGGCCGCTTTGGAGGCACTCGGACAAAGGGTAGTGGACGCATGCCCTCTTTTCATTTCACTCATCACCCCCTCCTGCCGGCCGCCTGCGAATCGAATATGCATGCAAATCTTTCTACACAGTAGTATTATTATTTGATTTGATCTTGACATGTGTTCATGGAGACATGTACATGGTGGTATGTGTGTACGGATATACGTTTGACGTTTCGGTGCGTGTGTCGTACTCACATGAGGACTTGGTTCCAGAGGTGGCTCTCGGCGGCGACGGCGGCGGCCGCCTCAGCTCCGCCGGAGTCCATGCTGAGGCCAGAGTGGTTGGTGGTGGAGGTGTTGGTGAAGGACGTCATGGTGGCGTTGGAGGCCGACAGATCGTCGTCGGCGCCGCCGGAGGACGTCGTCGTCCGGCCGCCGTGCTGCTGGTGGTGGTGCGAGGCCGCCGGTGGGATCGGGGGCCACCTCGCTGCGGGTGGCTGGGGCGGCCACGCGCCGTAGGCGGCCGGGTGCATGCTGTCGCGCCACCAGGAGGCCACGGCGGCAGCCGAGGACGTGGACGAGGAGGCCGACGGCGGTGGAGGCGGCGGGGAGCTGGCGACAGAGGCCTCGGAGCCCTCCTGCGCCATGCACTGCATGCACACGGCCGGGGCAGCGGCAGCTGGTGCAGTCTAGCTAGCTAGCTAGCTTTAGCTGATGAGCTCAGCTCCAATCCTCGCTAGCTCTTGTTGCGCCGTGCGGTGTAGTGGTGGGGGAGATGAGAACGAGGAGTATGTATATATGAATGAATTTGGCTTGTGTGTCAGCGTGTGTGTGGAGGTCAGGTGATGGGAGGAGAGGAGGAGCACATTGCAGTGCATCTTAATTATGGGCTGTGAGACTTAGTACTGCTAGCTTTTTAAAGGAAGAAGAATGGATGGCTACGCCATGGTGACATCACCTGGCCTACCTAGCAGTGCGGAATAGTCCCTGTCCGTCTGGCTTTGGACATCTCTATCCTTTTCGGCCAGGGGTTTGGGTGTTCGTGGGCAGTAAGCGTGTGTCACTCTCTGCTTTTGTCTCTTAAGTGGTCTTTCCTTGTTGGTAATCTTGTATGCGCTGCCTCCTCACAATCTTACTTCTTTAACCCATTTTCATGACGATCTGGTAGTTTTTAATCCGACTTCAATCCTATATATGACTTCTTATCTTCCCTATCACTACTGCACAAACCGTCATGGGTAGTTATGATTGACGTTGGCCTCTCCTCTATTTTAGCCCAAGCTCCGCCGCTGGCAATTGCAGACAATGTTCTATTTGGTTTTAAGTTGCTAATTTTATTGTTGATCCTATTCAGCCCCTGTGCATCAACTCGCTCCTTTAAATGGCCCAGTGCGACCATCCCTCTTCTTTCCACCAGCTGCTGACCTTTGCGTGCCTGTCTTCCTCTTAGCCAATAACCAATCCCCCTCCAAGCTTGTTAATTCTCCTCGCTCGCACCCCCATGCCCGCTAGTGCGGCTAGGCTTTGCGCCAAATCCTATTAGAGAACAATGGCACGCTTCCTCTCACCAGTTGTCGACCTCTGTGTGCCCCTCTTCCTCCTTGTCGACCATCGACCTCTCCACATGCAGACATGGGCTTCCTCCCGTTGACCTATTCTTTCTCCCCCACGAACTCCAGATTCTCATTGCTCCCAGCATTCATGCACCATAGGCCACCGACACACGCTTCTCTTGCATTCTCCCGACCTCTTCTTCCTCCTCACAAATGCTCGCACTTGCTTCCATACTTAGATTCACCCTTGTCGTGCCCAAGTGGACTGAGCCGTCCGGCCGATTTGAGGGAAACCCCACATCTAGAGGGAATACTCCCTTGTCCTCTTCAGGGATGGTTCCCTCCCACTCACCTTGGAAACAAACAACGTGAAATATAGGCTCACCCATGCCATTCTCCACCGTCCCACCAACCGTACACACGCTAGATGAACTATGGAAAATATCAATAACAAAAAGTGAGGCATAAGAAGACAAACTATCAATCCTTGACTTAGAGGACTGAGAAAATGGTAACGTACACACAGAAAAGCTCTAAATTTATTCATGAAGAGTTTGCCATGGTCAAATTTAAAACAATGGCTTAAATTTAAATGCATCAAGTTCCCTAGATGACACTTTTATTTTAGGAAACAACTAACGGTATGCAAAATATATTTGTAGGTTTATATCCATCATTATCATGGGCAACTCCTCGAAAATCGATCATGATTAGTAGTACATGCATGGATACACACTTAAATAACAAACTACAGTAATAACACTCTCCGGCCCTGTTCGCGTGCCCTTAAACCCAGATTGATCCGCTTATTTTTTCATCCGGAATAGTATTTTTCTCTCACAAATTCCTCCAGCATTCCTCCAAACCATCAAAATTCCTCCAGAATTCAGACAAGAGAACAGGCCCTCTATCCGAGCCATCATTGCAATCTAATTAAGTGATGGACAAGCAGAAGCTAAGATGAAACCGTACCCTAGGTGAAGTCAATGCATAGGACGATGCCTTCAGAGTTCAGATTATGATTTAATTTGGAGCATGCGCTCGATCGTTATCGCTGGATTCTCTATCTCATCTCTGACCCTACCATGAATTCATGAATTTCTCACACCCTGCAGTAGTGATCCTGCAGATTGTGGCATCATTGCAGCACGATGGCGTGCGCATGCCACATGCACATATATCACTACAGGAAACAATATAATTGCCGAAAGCATGAGGGTTTGCCGAGTGCATTCCATCGGGCAATCGACAAATATCCTATTTACCGAGTGTTTTGAATGAAACACTCAGCAAACAAATAGCACTCGGCAAAATCCAACTTTGCCGAGTGCTTAAAAGAAAACACTCGGCAAACATGGACACTCGGCAAAGTACAGGCACGTGCGCTGGGCGTGCGACGGCCGTGCGACGGCCGTTGGGTGCGCCGCCCTGCCGTTAGAACTTTGCCGAGTGTCCGTTAGAGACACTCGGCAAAGACAAGGCTTGCCGAGTGTTCTGCGAAGGCACTCGGTAAAGTAATAATGTTGCCGAGTGTTTTTTATTGGCACTCGGCAAAATAATATTTTTTTCCTCTCCTGCCCTCCAAACTTTTTTACTCTCCACATACAACATGTGGTACTACATGTTAAAATTTGGTATATTTCTCGATCTGTTTGCTATATTTAATTAATTTATTGTATTTAGAGGAATTTTTTTTTGTTTAAGTCAAATTTGAACTGCAAGTGATTCAAATAATGGAATAAATTGAGTGGAAAAATCATATTCATGTTATTGAGTCCATTTTGGAGCCTTACCCGGGAAATGAAATGAAATTTCGAACATTTTGTTCAGGAAACACGACCACGAACATGTGGTCGAATGGTTTTTAAATTCTAAAAAAAGCAAACGAAGTATGAAAATCACGAGATTTGTCAAGATCTCCTGATATCATATGTGGAGACTGTGGAAAAAATTGAGAAGGTTTCGCATAATTTGTCACGTATGACGCTTACAAATCGAAGCATCTCCGAAGAAGAATCAAGGAGTTGAGAAGAATCTGGTAAGATTTGGAGTCAAAGTGACGGTTGAATTGGTGTTTGACTTTAAAACTTTTGTATAGACAATACACAACATTGATTGGTCCATGTCAAATTTTGGGATTTTTTCGGATCCATTTGATAATTTTAATTTATTAACTGCAATTATAGAATTTTAATTGATATAAATTGAATTTAAGCTATAACTGCACGAAATAATGGAATAATATTCGTAGAAAAATCAAATATACATTGTTAAGTGAATTTGACAAGATACTTTCAAAGTCCATCATAATAAATTTAGTAGAACACGCTATGAAGGAGGACGGTGCAGCATGAAATAATTTTTTTTTGCCGAGTGTTCTCTACGTGACACTCGGCAAAAATAATAGTTGTTGAGTGTTGTACAGGGTACACTCGACAACTTTGTTGATCCGGCCCCACTGTGCAGTACCGGACGGTTTGAAAATAAAAAAAAAACAATGCCGAGTGCCCCTGATCTGGACACTCGGCATATCTTTAGTTTGCCGAGTGCCCAGATCGGGGGCACTTGGCATACCTTTCATATGACCTTGGCTGCACCCCCCTGACGCACACGACACTCACGCACACACGCGCCCGCCCACACTCATGCACTCACACACGCCGTAGCCGCCCTGAACCCCCGCCAGCTCGGACCCCCACCGGCCTCCCTGGGGCCCCACTGCCGCCCAACCCGCCGCCGCCCTGTGCCCCGGCCGCCGCCGCCCTCCCCCAGTGGCCGGCGCCCCTGTGCGGAGCCCGCCGCCGCCCAGGGACCTGTCGCCACCCTCCCCCCAGCTGCCGGCGCACAGGCGGCCCCCTGTCCCCTGCACCGCCCCCTGCCGGCGCCCCGTGCGGAGCCCGCCGCCGCCCAGGGAGCCGGCCGCCACCCCCCCCGGTACTGTCACTGCAAGTAGATATTTGTTTTGTGAAAACAGGGTTATTGGCTAATCTGTGTAGAGTTTGGTTTTGATATTTCATCACTGTTTGCTGCAGTTCAGTGTTGTGCAAATGGTAGTCTATGTATCATTTTTTAGTTAAGTAATAACTATGCTTATATGATTATTTCTTGTAACTAGTCAATAATTATGAAATATTTGATGTTGAGACATGATGAAACTGAAACTCTTATTTCCAGAAAAAGCTATTTTTTAAATAGAAAAGAGTTGAAATTTATTCATAATTTCCACCAGTTACCAGCTACCTCTAGATATTTAGCAAGCGTAATTATTTTATAATTTGTTGGCATATGATTGATTGCTAGAAGGTCGTAGTAGTTATCCCAAAACCTATGTGGTTACCCAACAGTAATAATCTAGAGGAGAAGGGTTGACATACTGCCACCAGTAACCATTAGCTGTCACACTACGTGTACCAAATTTAAGCTTGTGTGATTTGAAATACACACACAAGCAGTAATCATTCACTCTCCAGCTTGAATCGAGTTGTGAGGTCCCTCGACCCTCCCGAGGCGACCGATACCTCTTGAGAGGCGCCCGATGATTCGACCCTCTGGGAAAAAGTAAGTAACTTTAGATGTTCTCAATAATTTTTCGTTTGATATGTTGAAAATTACAATGGAAACTAATAATTTATCTTAATCACTTGGGAAGGGGTTGGATTAAGGTCAGTGGGGGTGATCACAACCACAAGGTCAACGGCATCCTTAGCCTTTTGTGCAGGCTACACTTCCCTGGCTTAGTGCAGTTCGGCGAAGAGCAGGAGCCGGCCTACACGTGGGACCACTACGTCGCCGCCAGTGACGCCGCTGATCATGATGGTAGAGTATTCCCTAACAAGGCAGAGCGGGTGAAGGGCTAGCTGTGGGTAAGTATTCTTCGCACTACATTGCTCAATACATCACATTCACTGGACATTTTTGAAGTAATGACTGTATACATCGCGTCTATATGCAGGACTTCTACAGATGTCAGGAGGGGTACGAGGCCAAGGCGGCCTCCAACTCTGAAGAAGCCGCCAAGAAGCTTATGAAGGACATGCACTACGAGGCACGCGTCCAGGCCATCATCGACTACTATGCTCAATACAGAGGGATGAAAGTTAAAA